CGGGAGCCACGCACCGGCCGCGCAGGACGGGGAGCAGCCGCTCCCCCTCGCCCCGAAAGAAAAGCCACGAGGTTGCGTGAGGCAACAACAAAAAAAAAGCCACCAGCGGCGGGAGAGCACCGAAAGAACCCTTTCACGGGTGAGGGGGGGCTTACAGAGGCGAGGTTCCCCCCGCCCCGAGTGCAGCACCCCAAAAAGTGATGCGACAGCAAAGGAGCCGCCCGGTCCCCATCCCGCGGCTCCGTCCACCGGGAGCGGAGCTCATCACACCCAGCCAGCACTCCCTCCCTTTTATATCCCACTTGGAGCCGTAACACCGATTTTTTTCTATTTTTTTTTTCCGTGGGTGGCTCACAGACAGTAATTAAGAGCCCTTCTCTCCCGCCTGCCCCAGCTCCCGTCTCCAGCAGCTGCTGTTTAAGTGAAGGAAACCCCCTTTCGTCCTCTCTCTCCTTTATAATTTTTTTTTTCCCCTCCCTTCTGAACATAAAGGGATGACAGTGCTCCAAGCCAGGGTCTTTTGCATTTCTGAGTTGGTTCTGTTAATTGGAAGGAGGGTTAAGAATCTGCAAGGTCGTTTCAATCTACATCTGACCTTCAGAGTAATCCTCTACGCCAACACCAGAGCATGTCATTAAAATGAGGCCCTCTGCCATATCCCGGCATCCCTTTATTCTCTCCTTGTGCACATTAATTGCTCATAAGTTGATTTGATCTCCCTATTCTGCAAGAAGTAAATTGCCCTCTTATTTCGCCATTTTCATCCTGTTTTCTTAATTAGGCCCTTAAAAATCTCTAGGGCCTCAGCCGGGCCGCAGGCCTCATCCTGGGAATAAATTTTGATCTCAGCCTGATAAAGAGTGAGCAAACCCGGAGATTGAACAATGTCATTCTCCCCCGCTCCCTCCCTCCGCACTATTCTCTTGACATGAAAAGGCTATCAGTTTTTCTCTGTGTTAATATAGGAAATAATTCACACTTCAGGCGTTGTTCTCTATTTAGTGTTCACACTCCCCAGATAAATCAAATCAGGAATTTTTTTTAATTTTTTTTTTTAAGTGTCTGAAACTACTTACTCTTTCTCTTCCTCCCAGCCTCCTCACACTCTTTTTTCCCCTCCTTCTTCTTTTAATAAAGTTTCCAAGATTAGCCCCTGTGATTTTCCATGCCGGGAAGTTTATTTTAAGGTGGATTTTCTTTTTTTTTTTTTTCTTTTCTTTTTCTTGTGTGTGCTTAGCACCATCACAGAGGAGAGCGAGGGGCGGCGAGAAGCTGGCACGTGGCTCCGCATGCTCAGAGCACAGACAGGGTCTGCAAACGTGGCAGGTGATGAGTTTTGCCAGGCAAGGTCTCAGCTGGGAGACTTTGCAAACATATTTTCCCCCCACTGGCACTGGGCATGAGTTTCCCCCACTCTGCAGAATGTTTGCAAACGAGAGCTTGGGAACACCCTGCCCCAAAGCCTGCCTGTATTGGGGGTCCAGCCCCTCTGCAGCACCCAGGGGTGATGCTAATCCAGCCCCAGCAGCGAGAAGGGGGCAGCAAAACCCCCAACTCACCCCCAGGGGCCACCCAACAGGTAGGAAACCCACCCAAGCTCCTGAACAGCTCCAGCATCGCTCTCACCCAGCGCAAACCAGGACGGCCACCACAAACCTGCCCTGCTCTAGGCACCACGTTCAGCCCCAGGGACACAACCCCTTCCTGCTCAGCTCTCTGGGGCCTCCTGACTACCATTAATTAAGGGGCCAAGCCTGGTTCCAATTAAGCAATCAGCAGATGGGTCAGCACCTCACAAATCCCAGCTGGGTTCATCACCGGGAGCTGCAGATCTCCCCAAAGTATCCCTCCAGAGGGACCCTGAAAACCCCAAACCCCACCAGCTGAATGAGATGAGTAACAGTGCTTCTCCCTCTAACCGAGTCAGGTTTTCCTGCAAAAAAACCCTACCCCAAAACAAACAGCAGCCCTCAAATTCAGGGCAACTCCCCTGCAGCCTGACCTCTGGGGTGCAGGAAAGTGGCTTTGGGTGCTTTGAGCCTCACGGACCCTCCCTCCTCGGGGACGAGAAGAAAAAGCCCACGCTGCAACGCTCCGGGATGTTGTAAATAAATATATTTTAATGATTTTTCTTCCATTCCAGTTCATTCTTTTATACATTTATTTATAAAACAGTAGTAAAATTTTGTAATCAGAGCACAGTGCATTAAAAAAAAAAAAAAAAGAAAAACAAACAAAAACCCCAAAAGATTTTTTTTTAAAAAAAAGAAAAATCCACAACTGTTTACTCATGGCCGGGGGGAGATGCCGTGTCTCACGCTGAGCAGTGGATGGTCTGGTGCCCGGCGCAGAGCTGGCACCCACACGTCCCGTGTACCACCAGCAAGGACCCAGCAGAATGGCCCCACAGCCCCGATAATCCCAAGCGACCAGGAATTTTGTGTGCCTGCCCTGAGGCACCTGCGCAGCCCCTCTGCTATCCATAGATCCCCCCAGGTACCCCTGATCCCCCCGGTACTCGTGGGGTGCTGCCGCCCTGCTGGGGGCAGGATTCTCTTTACAGGC